ATCTCGTATGGTTACTTCATTGTGCCAATTCAGTTCAGTTCGGTGCCCAGGACTGTGACGGCAACTTGCCAATTCGTCCAGTTTCTTGCACTGGTGAACTCCAAAGATTTCCCGGTACGGCGATGAATGGATCCACCGTCAATGGTACACACGTAGAGGGGCGACTGGGGACAGAATCCCCAGCCACAGCACCCCACTCCGTGCTGTGTTACACATTAACCCCTCTAATGGGAGAGCCATACCAAGAACCCTGAGACCAGTATACAACCCCCTGTCGCGACCCAGACAGATCACAACGAATATAGCGGATGCTAAGTGTCCTGACTTGCTGATCGATTGCAGCGCGAGTAAACTTAAGGTTGGTGGACGTGATCGGAGATCGGCAACAGACAGATAGACGTCAGTCGGTTCGGTGGTCGTGTGGTGCATGTATAAGTGAAACGGATCTCGCTCTGTTTCTGCTCCTCTACAAATCAGTTTGTCTTTATCCATTTCAGTATACCGAATACGAGAGACTGCACTGATTTGCTTTAAACAGCAAAACAACATGACGTTTATTTATTTGCAAGGTTCATCAAGACACCATCATTATTAGCATTCTCATCATCTTCGTGGATCCAGATGGCGTACAAATTCACACACACGCATCGATGCGCACACAGGTGACATCATCAGAACGCATGACAGTTTTCTTATCCACTTAAATGTTACACACTGAGTTCAGTTTTACCATCACGTCACTATGCTAGACGATCGATGTGATATCAGCTTCTAACGCTATTGATCCGTTTGTTCAAACATGATCACGACTGTACTGTTTTGACAAATGTGAATTATGTGTGACAACACCGACGGTTATTTGTTTTACTGTACTCAATCACGCGGCTAGATTTGACTGCATGTACTCATAGTTATAAACAAATTCAGTTGCAACACCTGGCGTACTAGGGGTGGGGTGGGAGAGGAGAGAAATCAAATCAACTGAAAAAAAGAGAATGCTAACAGAAATTCTGTTTTATGTTGAAAGAGTTATCTGAAAGAATAGAGAGGCTGTGACGTCATGTTCATGTTCATTGTCCTCACAGAGCACAAGGTTTTCTGTTTAAGAACACACAGTGATGTATTCATCAAATGCAATCCTCATGCGATTTCACAGGGTGCTAATCTCGACTCAACTGACCGAACTGACTCACTGGAGTTGGATATTTTTTGTCTCCTGTCATTGCAACGGTCCCCCCCCCTCTCTTTTTGGTGGGTAGTTGTGCGAACACACATACACACACACTCATCCACGTGCTCAATAATTGACAAAACAGTTTTGAGTCTTTGTCCTTAATTCTCATTTGGTAAATCTGTGACGGATCAGCGCGTGCTGAATTCACGTGCCGCGCACCTTCATCCCGATCTACGTTTGTTCGACTTCGTAACATTGATTTATGATCTGGTTCGGGGCGGGAGTAGTGGAAGCTGTCCGCGGTCGGAGAGTGTGCGCGCGAGTCCGCACATACACACAAGTTCTTGTCCCCAAAGTATGAATCAATGTACTTAAATCGGTAGTAGTACGATATTATTGAACATATGAGAGTATGCCATAAGTGGAACACCGTTTTCATTCATGTCATTTCTATTGTTCTGCCAACCCCCATCCGGTCGCCTTTCAACTGCCATAGGCCAAACGGAAGAAAAAATCCTATTATGTGGCTCTTGGTGCGAGGTGTCCCCGTGTCTCGAGTACATCAGTTCCCAGTTCTCCACGCAACGGATCTTCCCACACATTATCATCGCAACAGATGAGGTAAGCACACGCATTACCCCCCCCCTCCCACTTCACCACCTTCTCATTGTTTTCTGCGAACCTCATATATGGACTGGAAGATAACCGGCCTAATTTTGGTTTGATTTAGTGCTCACAAACAGGGCAATTTAGTGTCTTCGATCCAATTGTGCACAATCAAAAGCGGTGCTCGCGATAAACGACCAATGGGAATGAGTGAAGAAGATCAATAGGCAGCTTATAGCCGACCAAACATGGCCACAGTTCGATTCACGTTTCAAGATTATAACGGGATCGGTTGGAATTCGATCACAAATCTGAAATGGGTCACGAGGACCCACTTTTGTGGGAACATGCTTCGTTTATCACTGATATCGAAAACGGATGTAATGAAATACAAACCAAACAAGCTCGGGGAGCGGTGTGCGACAACCACACAGATTGGTAGTTTCAGGCCGGTCGTAAACAGAGATCCGTATTCAATTGATTAGGAGCATGTAGGCGATGGTGTCCAAGTGGTTAGATCATCAAACTGTGACCTGGAAGTCCCGGATTCGAACCGCTCCACTGCCGCATTGACAATTAGATCACTCATGATCGTGCAACGACTTCAACAATCCGGGTGTAGTGTACGGTGTTGAAGCACACCGTGACCCGTTCGACGAAATTCCCTTGATCCCGGATGAACTAACGAGATGTATCCGATCAGTTTGATACATACAGTGGTATCAAAACTAAATCGAAAATACGTCCTCCTCAACTTGGTTGTAAGGCGGGGGCTGGTTGCTCTGCACACAAAAATCAAGGTTTGTATTGAAGTGAGAAGACTTCGAGAGTGACATTCACACGGGTATCACTCGTTCATTACTGAGTCAATAATGGACGTGTGTGTGCATGGCGCATTTGGATTGACAGAAGTCCTAATTGATTCCGGCACACAGAATGCACCAACATCGAGAATTGCTTGATAAATACGAATCTGTACTCTCTCTCTCTCTCTGACACACACACGTCTGTAAACACTTTCCAAGCGTATCGTATCTCCCAGATCTGGCTTGGTTGTGTGTGTGAGAGAGAGAGGAGATGAATAGGTAAGAACAGTCAGTCGAAATGCTTAAGTCCACACGATAATAATAATCGATCATCAGTAATTCACAACCATATTGATTCCGGTACAGTCGCACACCATCATAGAAGTTTTCCACCACAAACAGTCCATATTCTCTATTTGAGCCAAACAGAGGAGGAGGGCAGCTGGTTGTTTAGTGATACGGAAAACCACGCATAAAGCTCATGATTTCGAATAGGTTAACACACACACTGTGTTATTATAGGCGCGAACAGATTCGCTGAAGGTCTACTTTATTGCACAATCAGTACAAATCAACTACTCTGGAGAAAGAGATTTATCGGTTTAACGAAACAGATTAATAATCATGATGCTTCATAATCGAAAACTACCGTTTCGTCAGATCGATGCCTGAAATCATTCCGTCTCTTCACAGATTGACGCATTCGTTTCTGCATATATGAATAAAGATCAAATTCAATTGGTCGACTGGAATGAACGGGACTATGAGGAGGAATTGCTTGAACGTGTGAAAAGCAAATACAACCCGGAACGTCGTATTCGTCTGGCCATTGACTTCCAACCCACACCCAGACGAATGTTACGTATTCGGCAATTATTGGAACAGGTAGGTTTTAATCTCAGACCGTTTCTCTCTCTCTCTCTTTCGGTTTATTGTAGAGGTTGTGTGTGTGTATGTGGTTTTATTTATCCATCAGCATCAGAAACAACCGCCTGCACGGTCATCTGTGTCGTGTTCTCCTCCCTCGACTACTGCTGACTTGACTCGGGTTGCATCCATATTAGGCATCAACAGATAACATGAAACTTATTATATAGGGTTACGAATAGTATTTGGGTTGTTGTTTCAGGACAATTTCTGTCTTGATAATGATGGCTAAGCGCGTGGAGTACCCGTCACTGGAATGGTTTGAACCATGTCATCGCCACCCGATTTGGCTTTTTGATCGACTAAAAACCGGATCTATCGGATTATGTGATTGACCACTTCAAGTCGCAGGGCTTCGCTGTTGTGACTCAGGCATCACCTAATACACCCACTACAATGTTTCAATGAACACCACGGTCCGACTGTGAGAACGTCATTCATCATCATCATCATATCAAATTATTCAGAATCTCTCATCGGAAATTAGTGAGTAGAATAGCATCGTAAGCTCGGATCGTAATCCACAATTCACCAAAGGTGTTTTGTTTTATTCCCTTCCATTCATCAGGATGGCACTCTGATCATCCCGTATGAGAAACCCGTTTGGCGCGTGCGGTACGCGCCACTGATGCGCAGCTTCACCGCGACCGGTGGAAACCTAATCAAACTGTCTGAGACCGTGCCCACAGCACACAACACACGACAGAGACAGAACGCACTCGGTGAGGGTTACCGAATGGGACAGAAATGGACCACCATCCCGTCCGACACGTGGCGTGAACGATGAAACGGGGAAAAACTCGGACACAATGCACCCGTTCCATTTCTGATCTCCTACACTGACTGGCTGGCAGGCAGTATGCTGTGAGTATACTCGTGAGCCAGGACCGATTTAAACTCATCCAGATGCACCTATCCGACCACAATCATTCCGACGTTCTGTCAAGAAACGCGCGTACTTAGCCGTTTTTCTCTCTGTGTATATACATACGAGCGAGCGTGAAAACCCGAAACAGAACGCAAGTAGAAGACAAAAGAAAAGTGACACATTTTGCTGTACATATGTGCTTTTGTATATAATTATTTACAATCCTTTCATTCACACGGGCCCTGTGCGCTTCTCGTCTAGCAGCGTCTTTACCACTTGTCACACTCACACCCACACACGTCAACACACGGGCACATCAACACATCATACAATATTTTTTGTCCGAAAATCATACAACTCGTCATCCAGATCGGAACTGTCACTATCTGGCTCTTCTTTGATTTCCTCCTTCTTCAATTCGTCCCCCGAACCGGTTCGCATCGGATTGGTATTGGATGTGATTTTTTCAC